GGGGGCAGGGGGGGGGCGGAACAGTGGTATCACAATTTTCCATTGCAACAACAGGAGCAACTTGAGGAGGACTGATTCAACATATACAGTATGCATGGCAGCACAAGCAAGGCCATCACTTTGGTTGGGTGTTGATAGCATAGACTATTGTTCGGTACCCTCGTTTTACCAGCGGATTCTGGCGAGATCGATTTAAGTGTTGGGACAAGTGTGTGGGGGGGTACTACCACCGACTAGGCGAGCCCTTCGCGCGTACAGTAGGCGTGATTCGCGGCACAGCCCCCAAGCTCGGAAAGGGACGCACTCAGTGCCTAGATTACGTGCTTGTCGCGAGGATGCAATCGCGGCCGTAATACGGGAGAATCTAGCCCTACGGCGACGCTTGCGACAACTTCCACGCCCTAGCGAGCGTGCTGCGGTTGCAGAAGAGAGACATGAAGCAGGAGATGGTGAACGGATGCCCCGGCGTTGTAAACTCGGGGTCTTCCCGTGCTAGCTGAAGAGAGATTATGCCGGTGCTGGCAAAGGCAACAGTGAGACGAGTATCGAGCACCCACAGCCGGGGTATCACTGGCAGTGCCGCGTTCGTCATGAAGGAGAAGGAGGCTAACAGACATGCTGGTTGAAGCAGCTGATACCAGGAACACACGCATCAGGCCTACATAGCCGGCGAGAAGGAGGGCGATGGTCTGCCACTGACAACGCGAGTAGGGTCTTGACTGTACACCTACCGTCGCTTATAGACAGTACCTCACCTCATCCGTAGCTCGAGCTCTTCCTTCGATGGCATTACCACCGAAGCGTTTAAGCTGCAGTCTGCCTTTGCCTCTGGTTTCTCTGCCTCCACCGTGTCACCAGCCGCGCTGTTCTCGTCGTTGGCATGACCGTTCGACCCGAACAGGGAACGCACCACATTCGGTCTCGTCGTACTACCTTCGCCAGTCACGGCTTCTTCTGCCACCGGTGCCACAACAGGGGCGGTGCGAGCACTGTCCCACGACCCAGAGGAGCCCCCTCCCTCGAGAGTCTCCGTGCCCATCAGGCCGATCTCCATCAAGACGTCTTCCGGCAACAAGGTCTCGCTCTTTCCTTCGGCGTCGCCCAAAGGATCGCTGCCGACATCAGCGTTGCCAGTACCTTCAGATGCTTCTGCCACGGGGGTAGCCTCATCTACACCCCCGACTTCCGCTCCCTTATCCTCCGGCACGTCTCCCTTGTCTCCGGCGACCTCTAGGCCGCCGTCCCTGTCTTGGTCTTCTCTGTTGACGACCTGTTCCACCCCTTGCGGGTGTGCTGAATCTGTTGAGTGTTTGGTGTTGTCCTGAGAGCCTTCTTCTTCAGCCGCGTTTTGATCTTCCTTCGGAGGACCGCTCTCGCCGGGAGAAGCTTCGCCGCCTACCCCGCTCTTGACGTGTTCCGACGCGTCATCCTCGTCGCCCCCCTCGGCCTCTTCGTGATCGCTCGGCAGGCGGGGAGACTCTTCGCCGGGTGCATCGGACAGCGAGGCGGTCAAGCTGCTACCGTCCCCGTCTGCTGTAGCAGAAGAGCGCGCACAATCGGGACGATCCAAACATTGAAGTAACTTGTGTTTACGACGAGACGACAAAAACCAAGCATAGCTGTAGGTCTGTCGCCAAGAGCCGACGAGTCACAATCCATACTCAACAGCACAGTATCTCGTGGACGGGCACTCTCCGCTACTGAACACATTCGTAGAAACTGCCGGCAACAAACAGTCCAAAGCGATCTTGACGAACGGACGGCGCTTTGAAGTAGGCAGTCAGACGAGTCGACCCCCCAACTCGTACACGAATGCCCGACGTAGGAGCAGCCTCGTTCTTCGCCCCAACGCTGCGCAAAATCCCACCAACAGCGAGAGAGGGAAACAACTCCCAACACTCAAAGGCACCCCCTCCCGTGGTCTGGCCGCGATGCCCTCCCTCAAGCGACCGACCGTCGACTCACCCGAGTCCCCTTGAAGCACCAACCCCTCCAAGATGTCCGCCACCTGTCCGGCTACCAAGCTGTCTCCGCCGTGTCTCTCCAGGCAGTCCCTCAGCATCTGCCGCCTGCTCTGCTGCCCGTCTCCGACGCCAGTCCAAAACTTCTCCACGTCCCCCCTCCCCGTGTCCATCGCGATCAACGATCTCCACCCGGACTGCTGCACCCGAGCGTCTGTAGGGTGCGCCTTCATGACGGCCATAATAGCCCCCGCGTCCTTAAGGATTTCCATCGGCGTGTCTACATCTTCGGCAGCATCTTCGACATCGGCGTCCCAAGGTGCCCCCGAGACAGCCTCGTCAGTGTCGCCGCCGCCTTCGACGTTTTCAACAAAGGCGCCCTCAGCTACCGGTGCGGGGCCGGCAGCGGCACCACCGCCGCGAACACCCGCAGCGCCCTTCGGCCGATCAGACCGAGTCAGTCGAACCGTGATAACATCCAGGGCCGACTTCGCTGCAGCGGCGGCTGGTCGCCCCGAGTACTCCCCGACTCTCGCGAGGCACCTCACGGACAGCTGGAACGCGTCGTCAACCACCGGCCGGGCGTCTTTACCGCCGGCCTCCGCCAGAGTCGCAACAGCCCCCAGCGCGGCAGCAATCGCGTGGGCCTCGGCATCCTCCACCGTCTCCGCATCTTCTTCCGCCTCGAACAGCGCCCCGGCCTCGGCCGCCGCCGCCAGTGCCCCAGCGTCCACGAATACCTGCGGCCCGGTGCCCCCTTTCGCCAGCCTCTCGATAATGCGGAAGCAGGCTCGGGCCAGGAGAGGGTCCGCGGACTCGCACAACGTCACGAGCGCCTCTGCCACGCGTCTTGGCGACTCCCTCTCTACCGCAGCCTCGAGGCATTCGAGTCCCGGGCGGCACAGGCACAGCGCCGCGAGAAAGCGGGCGCCTTCGACGGGCCTCGCCGGTGGAACATTCTCACCCTCCTCTTGTACGTCTCCTGCCCCGCCCTCCCCTCGAGAGAACCAGGACCAAACATCCGCCGATACCAGCGACTGAGCGGCTGCTTTCTCCGCTTCCCTTGCCTCGGTGGTTGCCTCCGTGCCATTGGCCACCGCAGCTGCCGCCAGAATCGCGGACAGCGCCCGATCGGGAGCCTTGCTGCTCGCGCCGGACAGCCACCATAAACAAGTCGCGGCCGCCGCACCAGGTGCCTCGGGTGTTGCTTCCACAACAGTCAACACCGTCTCCACGCAGTTGTCGTAGTCGCTGAAGGTGGGGCGGTGGGGGTCGTCGCAGGACTCCTCCTCTGACTTAGCACGGAGCGAAAGAGCACACGCTTCCGGGGACTTGCCGGTGAAAATCCTCTCCACGACCTTTAGGGCGGAAGCTAGAGCTACGTCCGACCCTTCTTCTAGCGCCTCCGGGAAATCTCTGACGCGACATCAAGCAACGCATACGTAGTTGTCGAGCAGGCTGGTTAAACAACACATTTGACTACATCTTTGAAGCGGACTGAGCAATGAGGACGATTTTGTCGTCGCTTTGTTGAGGTCGATGCTCTCGATGTATGCAAGGCTGCTCGCGCAACAAAAAAAAACACGGGTGAAAAAAAGGCAGCACACGTTAGAAAGGAGGGGGTGACACAGAAGGAAGTCTGGGGCACTCAGGTTGCACTCCAGAATGGCGCGGCCCCCAATGCTGCCCGTCAACGCTGCAAAGCGTACCATAAAAACACAAAACTCTACCTTACCTTTCATCACGCCACTTCGCCAAGCTAGCAACATGACTTCGTGCTCGACATATTGAGGCACAGCAGTACAAAGAGGTAAGCTTTTATCCAGCACCGAACCTGATGGTAGCGAGAAGAACTCCGCCGGTCCCCCTCTCCTCGCACGTAGCTCTCCCCTCTTCTGTTCGGCTGACGCGCTCCAAGGCCTCGCAGCACGGCCGCATGATGGAGCTGAGACGGCAAAGGGTGAAGAAGACGAATGGGATAATCGATGAGTGAGATACACAAGCCGGCAGCAGGCGGTCGGTAAGCGGCGCAACGATTATCTCGCTACTCTTCGAGCCCCGTCTGCGCCCGACGTCGATACCTGCAAGCAGGTAATTTGGCAATCGATGGTGAGCTTTGTCACGGCTTCGCGCGGCCACGTCTTGTTCCCACCGAACGAGCTTGGCGTACTCGTGATCGGGCCCGGTCGAGTCGGAAAATTAAGGTATCGTGCACGAAATCGCACCCGAACGCACTCGAGCAAGGCTCGATAGTCGCCGTCATGCCCGCACATGGTGGCGACACCGATCCTGTGGCCTAAATCAGAGCCAGCAGCGGCCGGCACAAGGAGTAATCGTTGTTGACACGTCATTATGTTCTCCAAAAACCGGCCGTCGGGGGATCGATCGGCGTATCACCGCGTACATCCGCTCGAAAGCTCAGCCCGAGTGGATGTTCGTCCGGTCGTCGTTGCTGCTCTTGGCACATCACTCTGTCGCGAGCGAGCGAGCGGGATCGTCACCGTTTGTCCCGACGCCCCCAAGAGGGAGAATATCGAGGTCCCAGTGCAGGGCAAGGAAACGAGAGGGTGCGAAGGTGGCCAAAAGGCCGGGCCCGTCGGCATTTGCCTGTGCCACTACCGCCGGGGGTGCTGCGCATGGGAAACAGTGATAGACGTAGTCACTCAGCAGATATTGATTGAGTTGTACCGAGCGGGATGAGTGATGGATCCTGAACTGGATCGCTTCGGTTCAATGTTGTTGCGCTCCCAGCGCCATTCTCCTTTGGAGGTCGATGGCGGCACTGCGGTCGCAGGGAGTATACGCGAGGAGGGGTTGAACCTAGGGGGAACCCCGCCCCCCCGGAACGAGCAGTGACTGGAAGCAAAAGTCAGCTCAAGTAGGCACCATGCTGAGCGATAAGGCTTCGCACAGACGCGCTCGCCCCGCCTCTCGCTGAGACATAAAGGGCTGGCTTCGTCGCCCGGAAATGCTGTTTCTGCCTGTGTCGTGCAAGTGGACCTGCTTTCCCTCGCGCTGAGAACTGCACATTGCGTCGCGAAACCGACAGTTGATCCACGTGCTCGAAACAATCGGGTCGAGGGACCGGAATGGCCCCTCGTACGGATTCAGTACGTCACTGCCCTCCATGCTGTTGGCAACATGCGGCCATTTTCACGTGAGCCCGCTTAGAGCAGCACATAAACACACGAGCTCTTGTCTTTTCACACCGCACACACACACAAGCCTGTCGGCGCAGTCGATGCTAATTCAGAGAAACGCACAACACGCACACACACGGGAGCTTCATCACTACACAGCGTTTTGCGTTTGGCGCCGCAGGAAGACGGAAGACTCACGTGTTCTCGTTCGGCAAGTCATCCTCTAAGAACCTACCCAATAACTTCGGGGCGGGGGTTGCCAGGCTCACCTATGGTTCCCACCGAGTTGCTCGAGCATGCCCTCGATCGCTCCAAGAGCCCCGCCGTCGATCAGCAGAGAGGCTGCTTTCCCGGCCAGCGAGGATATCAAACGCGCGCACTCCACTTGGCACTCGACGGTTTGCGCGTCGTCACCTTGTTACAGCACGATCGAAAGAACAGCGGTAATTGGGTCCCAACAGAAGAGGTTTGACTCTGTAAGGTTACGACCCCTACAAGCCTGCAACCACAGCGCAATTTTCAATGATACGGGACTCCTGGCGTAAGGCGTCGCAACCGCCGGGCGTGTGGCCTACAGACCACCCTTCCCCGCCTATGGCACGAATACCGTATATGACACAGGATAACACAAGCCCTTGACCAACTTTCGAAGCTCGATTTCTTAACTGCAGGAACAGTCACAGAGCCGAAAACGGCGGCGTTGAAACCGTCTCGTCGAGAGCATTTCGACAATGTATCGTTTCGTTTATGCATCCTCTTCGCCGTGGAGTAATCGAGCTTCAAAAATCGGTCCAGGGGGTGTGTTATCTTGTGTCATATAAGGTACTACCGCTACCGCTGTGTCAGCATGAATACCCTGTGAAACCTTCATTGTGTCAAGACTTACCAGAAACTCCACGGTCCAGGCGGCCGACGAGGGCCTCCACGAGGCCACTTCCTTGCGAATGGGAAACCCCCGACCCGAACTTATCCACCACCCAGACGGCCGTTCGGCAGCAGAGGCTGAGGACTGACGGCTTCGCCATAGGTTCTCCTGATATCACCCTTGTGATCCCGTGTCAAGCATTCATACGAAAATAAGGCGAAGCGTAAGAAAGAGCGGAAGATGGCGAGAAATGCGTGGCACGTGTGTCACTACAGCACAATAGTTCGGTCCGTAACAATTAAAGTTCATGACGCGAATATGCCTGATTGTTGCCCCTAACGGTTCGATTGCAATGAGCCGCGGAGCCACGAAGAAGCGACCTTGTATTGCTTGGAATGGAGGAAAACAGTAGGCTCTAAATATTGGCCTGCGCCAACACGATGCAGGGGCCCTCGTTTGATCTTCCCCTAATTTTCGGGCGACCGAAATGGCCCTCCCTTTTCGACCCAAACAGGCAAACAAGACCAATCAATAGAGCACCAATTGACGATCTGCTGGCTTCTGACGAGGAAGAAAAATAGCACCGCTCTCTCCGTTAATTTTGCCGTTAATCGAGGTAACACGTTGAATCCATCAAAACAAGAGTTACGAAATGGTGCACGACGGCAATATTTACCACAAGAGAGTCAACACTTACGGGTTATTGAATGGTGCATGAATAGTATTTTCAACACCACGCGTGGACCGTGCCATTTCCACGGGATTTTTACCACGGTACAGTTCATTCCAATGGTAAAAATTGCCGTTGTGTATACCAACCCGTAATTGTTCCATGATAGATTCAACGCGTTTCCGCAGTAAATGAACGAGGACAGCCCTGAAAAATGGGGCCCTCTTCGTCAAACGGGTTCGGTGGTGCTCCGAAAAGAGATCGCCGTGCTATACAGGTGTTTGTCCCGAAAATTCGTATAGATGCCTCACCCTAACCCCGGGAGTTATCGGTTAAAGGGGGAACGCAAAGCGGAGACCTCACACACGCGGTTCCAATCTGCAGGAGAAAACGCCACACACACAGCTCGGCAGCTTTCAAAAACAGCAGGGGCCGAGCGCATACGGCCTGCGGGCCGTGGGTATAGCCACGCGCTATGTGTAACCCAGCAGGTTGACGCTTGTGTAGGTCCAACTGACAGCTAAAAAAATTTATGAGAATGACATCACACACACAACTCCACACCTTTCCACGCACGCGATCTGACGATTGCTCACGCCCTTGCCACGCGGATAACGAGAGAAAAATTCGAGGGCGTGAGCGTCCACTGCTGCTGTGCCTTCTCAGGTTGTTGCATACGCCGCGTTGTTGTCTTCGAACACAGGCGTGAATTAAGGCGTGGCCGTCTGCCTGCTATCGCTGCTGCTCACTCTCTTGCGTGAACTTGATGTCAACAAGTTTTTCTGTGCTTGGGTAACAATGTAGACTGCCTTGCTGTCACTCCGTGGGAAATTCCGCAGGGTTGAGACGATTGAGTGTAGGGCGTAAGTTGTGAGCCTGCCGCATCTATATATCACATGTATATGTCAAGATGTCGTGACGCAAAATATGTCTTCGCTGCTGCTCATGCTTTGCGGGGTGTGATTTGCTCATCGCCAGACACAAGTAGCATTCCAGCCTCTTCCCGTTATGAGTATTCGGGTCCTCATGTCCGCATCTATTCGCGCACGGTGGAAAGACACGACGTGTCGGTTCTTCGCCAGTTCGTGGCATCAACGGAAAACACACATCCGGCTATCTCCCCCCGTCGGCCACAAGCTCCTCCTCGTCGCGCCAGTCGCACTCGTAACCTGGTGCACCTGTAGCTACACTACTCGCAGCATCGCAGATCGGCAACTGCAAGGTACTGAGTTGTACCCCGCGGTTCATTACCCCGCCCTATCTAGTAAACACGCGAATTGATCTACACAACACAAGCAGTTATGGGTATAGATTAGTCCTGCTCCGACGTCGGTACATACGTACGCAGCAACATTTCACGGTACGACAGAGCTCGATGACAAATCACGCCGAGCCTATGGTTTGCGGTCGGATGTGTAGTGTCGTCTACTGTGGACCGCACCACTTGTTCATGTGGCACCGACCGGGACCGGGCGTATCCTTGACCGCAACGCGATCGTCGTCGTTCAAAGTAAGTCAATCCACCGAAACAAAAGCCACAAGTCTTTCGCCGCCCGTTGACAAGATTCGACGTACCGGGTGATGACCTCAAGCCCCCTGGCACGGCTGAACGCTTGGGCGATCTCCGTGGGGTCGGTTTTCCCTGCAATTAATGAAAGGATAGGCGGAAGATAACATATTGTTGCACCGAAAATATAACACCGTTGAAAAATGAACCATCGCTCTTGCCGTTTGGAACTGCTCGAAATTTCAGGACCACGGCGTGGGGAAGAGACTTCGTGCTCGTTCCGTTGTGAAGCAAGATCTGTCGGAGGAACATAGGGTGCAGCTGGTCGAGAGGGGATTGGGATCGAAAAGGACCACCAGCAGTAGTCGAGTGCGGTTGCCGTCGACGATTGTGAAGCATGTGGGCACGCTTATGACACACATTAGCGTCGTTCTTCCGTGTACATAGCGTCGTTTCATTTTTAGACTTACCCCCAAATCGTGTGTATCATACGTCTGCACAGAATAGTCTCCCCGCATCGTCTTTCACCAGCAGCAAAACTATGAAGGACACAGGCCTGCCCACTCTTACCTGCCGAGAAAGCGTGGAGAATTGTGCTCAAGTTGTACGACACGTGCTGATGAAAAGAAGCATGCTGGGCCATCTCCAGCACCTTCCGCTCCACCTGAGCCCAGAGATAAAAGCATAAACATTGTACGGTACCAGCGGTCAGCGAGACGGGAGACGCTGCCGGCTGAGGCAAAAAAATTAACGTTGTCTGCATTGGTTGTCTGATCAACGATGGTCGTGGAACAATGTGGCAAAGCACCAAGGAAGAGGTGCCCGCTACCTACAGCAGCCGCGTAGGCTGGGTGCGAAAAGGAATAAAAAAACCTCTGCTGGATCGCCGTTTAGCTTGGTACAGAGTTAGGGTTTCTCGCCAACAGAACCCCAAAGGGCTGCTGGCTGCTGCCGATGGGTGCGGGATTATCGTTCTTCATCCACTGCTGATGCTGCTGCTGCTGCTGCGTGAAGTCATCATTCGATTCTCTTGCCCACACCGACCACGAGGCACCCACCATTTCTGTCGTAGAGGAATACATAGTGGGAGCCATATCTTGCGAACCCTACGCGATCTTTGGCCCCCTCTGTCTCCCCTCGGTCTTTATTTCCCCCAGCCCTGTAGCCGAGGGAGGGGGTTCCTCCCTGCCGGTGCAAAAGCTGCGGCCTGTCCTTTGGGGGCTCGTGAGAATAGAAAATGATATGCCATGTGAATGTTTTCCTAGCTCTCGCGCCCCTTCTGTTCAGCTGGTCAGCTCTCGTTACCTCCTGCCATTGCCCTCCGACTCTACTTTGCGCCGCTGTTTTTAAACACCTCTCTCTTGTCTTCGTGGACTGATGGCGACAAACTTGCCATCTAGGGCGTGGTTCTTTGCTGGTGTAGCGATGCTGTGCACAATTCGGATTGGTGTGATGGCTTTTCGGCCGCTGGGTCGTCATGCTACGAGGAAACGCACTTTGAGGTATGCACTCCTGTGTGCGTTGTGTAAGCCAGCAGTACCTGGGATTTGAAGGCTACATGCGTTCAAGCATCTAGAGTGCCTGCAGCTGCTGTCTGAGCATGTCGCGTCGAACATACCGCCAATCGTCGATATTCATTCGCGTATGTGTTGCGTCTCTTTGTTGACGGCATTGGTTGGGATCCACCGCGGTCCTCCTGTCTTGCAAGTGCTACTGCTGGATCGCAATCTTCTTCGGCCCCGCCTGATCTGGCGAACCTTCGCGAGCACTACGTCTCCACAGGGATCGAGAGGGCGACGTTGCCCAGCGAACCGCACATTCTCATGGCCAAGTGGGTGGAGGAGGCTTGCCGTTGCAAGGAGGTACGGAGTACGGAACTTGCGCAGGTGGTACTGCTGTACTTTCTTTTCTGATGTCTTTCCTGTGACTCATCATCCGAAATGCCATCTACAGTCGAGGGACCCTTTTAGTGCCGGTTGAATAGTGCCAGATGCCCGGTATAGTGCCGGTAAAATCTCTGCACACAGGCGGAGCTCTCAATAGTGCCAGACCGGCACTAATTAAAGCATGCCCGATATAGTGCCGGTTCGGCACTGCTGTCACCCCCAATAGTGCCGGTACTCCGCACGCGCGAAACACACACACGCACAACCCAGGGCAGAAAACATAGACTCCACACACAGAAATAGGGTACACGTGCTGCTGCAGACCCGAACAGCTCTACACAGGGGCGTACCATGCCCTGTGCGGAAGGTGAACTGTGCCAACTACAGGACACCACGCCGCAAGACCCTCATGGTCACGGCTGCCAGGGAGGATGTGGCGGGCGACTGCACGGCATTTGCGGCAGTGTGGTTGATGTAGGCAACGAGAATCACCGCATCTGCAGCGCGTGCGTCGCCAAAGCCGGCAAGCGCAAAGTGTCAGCAGCAGACAGCACTGGGAAGGCACAATCTAAACGTCCGAAGGCCACGAATGGGGGGAGTAACAAGTCTCAGCCTCGTGCGCGGCCAGATTTCAGCGCCAAGTGTGAGATGCTGAAGCTGATGGATCAGAAGGTGACTCATGAGCAGCTAGCAGATCGCTTCAAGTGCTCGGAACGGTTGGTCCGGGATGTGAAGAAGAACAGGAAGAAGTACGAGACCGAGGCTGCTGCAGGACGCGGAGGAAGCAAGAAAAACGTGCGCACAGGCAATAATCCGGAGGTGCGCTACTCTGCTGTTGTTTTAAAAAAATACGCGTAGTTCCCGCGCCTTCTTTGCCTTTTTTTTTTTGCCGGGCCTTGTTTGCAAAGAGTTTTCGTTTTTGCAAGGACCTTTTTCTGTAGCCTTGTTCGTCTATCTGATGTTCTTGTTCTTTTTTCTTCTTCTCTTGTCAAGTTGTTCCCTGTTCTCTGTTCCCTTTCCCCATGTTTCTTCTATTTCTCGACTGTTACAGTACTTGTTGAGCTTATTCCCTCTCGTCGTTCGTTTGTGTCTTTTTTTGTGTTACCTTTTTTTTCAACTTTCTTTGTTGTTTTATCGTTCGTGCGCTGCTGCGCCAGCATATAAACTGCGAACCAAAAATGTGTACTTGTTTGTACTGTACTGGTACATTACATCGCACGCACACCTATTCTTTCAAACGAGTTACAATACATAAATACACATGCGGATGCAGCGGCGAGCTTCTGTGGTTTTTCAAATGCCCGGAAATGTTTCCTTCCCACTACGATGCACTGTGCAACGAGGCTTAATGTTCGAAACTAATCGTGCTATCTTTTGTACCCTCTTTATTGTTTACTCCTCGTTTGACGGTCAATAGGTGGACGCCATAGCTCTTGACCTACTAGAGAAAGCCCGGAAGACCAAGATGCCCGTCACGCGCGACGTCCTTCGAAGCTTCGGCCGTGCCGCCAGGGCAACCCTGCTGGCTGATCCAGCAGCTTCTAAGGAAGTGAAGGCGAGGGTCGAGGATTTCAAGGCCGGCGAAAGGTGGGCCAGGAACTTCGTGAAGCGCAACAGCATCGACAGCGTGAGACTTCATGGCGAGGCTGGTAGCGTCAACAAGGAGGCCATCAAGGAAGCCATGGAGGAACTCAAGGCCCTTTGCGCAAAGTACCCGGCTAGGCTCATCTTTAACGTCGACGAGACAGGCCTCCAGTGGAAGCTCATGCCCAGGCGCACGTACCTCTCCAACTTGGAGGATCGGAAGACGGCGCGGGGCTCCAAGGGCATGTTCTTCAAGGATCGACTGTCTGCCATCATGTGCGCCAATGCCGACGGCACTGCAAAGGTTGACATGTCCATCATCGGGAAGGCAAAGGGTCCCCGCTGCTTCAACGACACGCCTTCACCTCTCAAGTACTTCTCGCAGGCCAACGCCTGGTCCGACACCGCGACTTTCCGCAAGTGGTGGTGTGAGGTCTTCCTCCCGTTCGTTCGGCGCTTCACTCACGAACCTGTGCTGCTTCTGATGGACGGCTGTGCTTCTCACGGTGATCTAGTGGATGATCGGGGGCAAGTTACCATCAAGTTCTACCCTCCAAACTGCACCTCCGTACACCAGCCTATGGATCTGGGGATCATCGCCGAGACAAAGTGCAACTACAGGAAGGAGCTGCTCGATGTGAAGACATCGACCATGTTGGTGGCTGACACCCTTCGTGCCGAGGCCAAAGCTCGCAAAATGAAGGCCGGGACAATGGGGCTGGCGCAAGGGCACCAACCTCACGTGCGGGATGCCGCTGAACTTCTCCAGAAAGCATGGGCCAGCGTCACCGCCCAGGACATCGCCAGGTGAGGTTTGAGCATGTGCAATCGCTGTTTATAATGTAAACTGTTCAACTCGCGCCTTGGTGCACATAGCTTTGGTGGTACAAAGGTAACGTGGGTAAGGTTGTACGGATAGATTATATTGTTTTCGACTGAGTTTTCCAACATCCGAATACATATCTTCTTTGCTTTTCGCAAAAACTTGAGTCCTCCCCCGCCTATGAGTCTTTGATCGTCCCTGGGTTCATCTAACATCCGCTTGTTGTCCACCCACAAACGTATGCATGACATTTTCTGCGCTACCTGGGATCAGGTGCTTTGTCAAAGCCGAGACTCTTCCGGACGAGATGGCCGCTGAGCTCACCAAGCAACACGGAAAGTCCCAGTTCCACGTCGCCGAGCCTACCTTGAAGGCTCTCACGGAGACTCTCAACACGTTGAGCACGAGCGTGCACGAGGCGCACAAGCAGGGTACCCAAATCGAGGACGAGGACATCGCCGAACTCATCGCCGAACTCCGCATCGAACCCGGAAAGCCGCTCCTGGAGGAAGCGGTGAACGCGATTCAAGGGTGGGCTACCATCGAGGACGACGATGAAGTGGTTGAGGCTCTCAGAGAGGATACGGTGGAAGACATGACGGCACAGCTGGCTGGGACTCGAGTGTCTACCGGCCGCGAGGAGGAGGACGAGGAGGAGGACAGCGGCGATGACAACACGGGGCTCGCGCGCCGTGTCCCACCGGCTTATGGTGAACTGTCGTCTCACTTCGGCGTCCTGGAAGCGGCAGCAGAGGAGAGCGGCAATGGAGACGCGGCGCTCTACCTAGCGAAAGCGAAGATGGCGATGATTGCAGCGCATTCCAAGAGGCGGGTGCGCCAGGCAGACATGAGGGAGTTTGTTGCTACGGAGTAAGGGCGGGGAACAGCTGTGGCACTAAAAAAACGGTTGTTTGATTTTTGCGGTGCGCTGCCCGTCGTGCATGTCATTTTTTTTTTCTTGCAACATCGAAGCGGGTGCGCCAGGCAAACAGGAGAGAATTTGTCCCGACGACAGTACACAAATAAGCAAATAAGTGAGGTGCAGAAGAAAATGAAGAACCAAAGAGCGCCCCAAGACAACAAAAAGAAAACTCAACTCTGCCCACGCCCATGCTGGAACTTCACTCAACAGTACAGTAATAGTGTCGATCCATTTCGTTCTTTGTTGGCCCCGTAAGCGTGGGCGCTACACCATAAATCGAACACAACCTCATTAGTGCCGGTACCGGCACTAATGAGGGATTGGCCAGCCCTCAATAGTGCCGTTTTGGCACTATTCGCAATAGTGCCGGGTGCCCGATTTAGTGCCGGTGAACGCTCTGTGCACGTACCGGCACTAAAAGGGTCCCTCGACTGTACCTACATACAGCAGCAGACCGTCGTGGGCAAGCCTTCCCTGTTTAGTGGGATGCCTTGAATAGTGGTTATAAAACCTCGCGACACGGCTACACCCCAGTCTAGCGGTTACTCACTAAACCGGTCGTGCTCTCAATAGCGGTTTTTGGACATATTTTCAGCCACGAATAGCGGGTATCGGTTAAATTTTTGCAGACACAGACACTGGTCAGTTAGCATCATCGGGGTCTTGGCACACTGTGCGGTCGCTTTTTTAAATGCTTCGAACTTCAGACTTTTTTCGCACAGGTGTGCGAAGACCCCCCTATGTGCCAAGTTCGCGATACCTGTGCGGAAATGTTCCAAGAAACAATGCACACCCCTGTGCCAAGACCCCGATATGTGCGGTGCTGTTTAATAAATCCAAAGGGGCTGTACGGCGACTTTCGAACGCACACCCCTGCGCCAAGACCCCGATATGTGCGGTGCTGTTTAATAAATCCAAAGGGGCTGTACGGCGACTTTCGAACGCACACCCCTGCGCCAAGACCC